GTGGGGCGTGGGGGGGGGGGGGAGCCACACCACGACGCAGCCAGGTGGCCCCGATGCCGAGAGCCCGCCCTCGACACGCCCCAGCAGGAAGGCCATGGACACAGGCGTGGTGGACAGCAGCGACGAGCAGAAGCAGACAGCGGCCGTGGCCCTGTGCCAGCTGGCAGCCTATAGCCCAGGGAGCGTCCGAATGGGCGATGGCGAGCCCACAGCCGCACCCGCTCCCGGTCCCGCGGAAACCAAGGGAGTGCAGTGCGACTCCAGACCCAAAGGCTCAAAGAGGACGAGCCAAAGGGACACGGGGAGGTCGCAGTCGGGCGCTAAGAAGGCGAAGCTGAGCAGTCCCGCCAGGGTGTTCTCGCTGCGCAGGAGGGCCCGGGTGCCTTGAGGCCGGTCTGCGTGGTGCCCGGCCGGGCCACCCACGCTGCCTCCAGCAGGAGCGAAAGCACCCAAGCTGGCAGCTCCTTCACTCTCATCTGGTCGGCCACAGCAAACGTGGTTTTCTTCTTCTCAAGACAGACAGACTGACAAACAAGAAACACACGAAGCAAATAAAGAGCTGCGGCTCTGTCCCGATGCCAGCGTTACGCGTAACCACGAAAGGTGCTTCTGCGTCTGTCTGCAGAACCCAACCGACCCTGACTCTCCGACTCGCGAGTCCAACTCCGGCTTGTGTGTGGTGAACGGTCAAATGAAACGCACCAGCTGAAAGGTGACCTTCCAGGAGGTCTTTTACAAACGCCTTCCTTATAAATATTTTAGCACTAGACAAATTGTTTGAACTGTTTTCTATTAATCTAGCTGTATGTTTTGAAATAAATAACAATTACTAAAAATGCCAGGAACCCACGGTGAGCACCAGCAGTAAAGCACTTACTGTAGACTGTTTATACAGGTACTTACCCCCTCGGGGGCCTACTGCTGGAGCGGAGCCGCCCACTCCTACCGCTCAGTGTGGCAGGATGCTCTGACTCAGCCTCACCTTCTGCTCCCTGAATGATGTCCATGTTGCTCATTTTCCAATAAACTCCTGCATGAACTCTAAGGATGCGCAGTGATGACAAATACAAACTCTTATCTTCTAGCGAACTTGGGAAACATGTTTACAGAGGGGGCAGCAATGGACGCATGGAGGCCAAGGGGCCCAGGCACCAGGACACAGTGAAGGGGAAGCCACACTTGGGGCCCGGGTCCAAGCGGACCCAGCAGGGAGGCTGGGGAGGGGCCGCAGCTGGGGAAGGCCCTGTAGGAGCAGCAGTGCAGCGAACACTGAGGCCCACGCCGAGGACCAGAGCCTGCCACCCTCAGGCAAGTTCTCATCCCTCACATTATAGCCCTGTGCGTCCGGACCCATGGCGTCTGAGAACACGGAAGGCTCCCCAAGGAGGATCGGGATTCTCTGAGGGCAGGGCCGGCCACACGCCGGCAGGGCACTGGGGAGTGGGCGGCCCTGCGTGCTCGCAGCACAGTGCCCAGTCTGGTGACAGCCCTGCAGCAGCCCATCCCAGACAGCAGGGCAGGCCCTAGCATCTACTGTAAAAGCAAAATAGATTCCTAGGTTTCGTAACAAAAAAGGAGTCTTACTGATTTTAACAAAGTATTTTTCTGCACTCACACGTGACTCAACGTAAGAGCTAAACATTTAGAACATTTTCATGCAAAAAAGTGATGAGGGCTCTGAAAGCTAGACACAGCCACCCGTAGTTCAATTCCTTCTGGTCATATACCCGAAAGGCCTGAGCACAGCCTCGGATGGGTGGCTAAGCCTTCCTGTCGGTATGGCACTGCTCACAGACAGCCCACGTGAACACGGGCCACGTGTCCACGGACAGATGGATGAACAAAATGTGCTCTCACCGTACAGCAGACTGCTGCCCAGTCCTCAGCGGGAAAGGTTTTTGTTTTGTTTTTGTTTTTTGCTATAGGGAGTATGTGCTTGCCAGAGGCAGGAGGGCTGAGAGAAGCCACCGCCGGGGCCTCAATCCGTCTCCTCCATTCTCTTCCCAGGATCTTGGGCAGGCATACACATGTGCCTGGCATAATTTCCAAGCTGCCAGGTCCAGGACTTGAACCGCGCAGTCGGCCAAGTAGGATCTATTGCCTTAACCTCCACTCCACCTGCTGGCCCAGAAAGTTATTTTTATATGTGCTGCAACACGGACTAACCTTGAAACTAAGTGAGATAGGCTGCAGAAGGCCAAATGCTATACACTTCCACTGAGGTGCCATCGCTAGAAGAGCGAATTCAGGGGCAGAAAGTAGGACCGAGTCCCGGGGGAGCTGCTACGAGGCAGAGCTGACCTGTGCAACGACGGAATGTGGCCGCTCGCAACAGCGCAGTGCTGGGGCGGGTCCCACGTGAGCAGCCACGGTTCCTGGCCTGGCAGCTTGGACGGCATGACGGACGCACGTGCACGCGTGCCCCAACCCCGATGGCGTGATGCGTGGAGGGAAGGGAGGTACTCTCTGGTGAGTGTGTGTGCCCTCTGGCAATTAAAAAATGTAAATAAAGCGAATTAACTAATGCCACTAAATCGTATGCCTAAAAATGACTGGAGCGGGCCAGCAGCTGGCACGGCGGCTAAGGGGCTGCATCCCACACGGCTGGCCGGCTGGAGGGCCACGCCAGGAGCGTGTGCATGTGCACCCGGAATCCCGAGGACGAGGGGAGGGGGATGGTGGCATGGCCAACCCGGGAGTGATCTCTCGTGCCCTCTCTGTCTCTCTCCAGTGAGTGCACATGCCTCATGGCAAAGACCTGAAAAGAGAGAAAAATGACTGACGTGGCAAGTTCTTATGCATTTTCTCACAATTTATTTTAAAGAATGGATAACGTGATACACCAAAAACCACTGAATTACGTACTTTGAGGAGGCAAGTTGTACGGTAGGGGATCACACCTCGGTGACAGCGAAAAGAAAAGACAAGTTACCCTGAAGCCACCATTTCTACACAGCAGAGACAGGCACCGACACGCCCTCTGAACAGCCGCCACAGTGGCCGGCGTGGGCCCCGGCCCCCGGCAGCTCTCGGTGAGACGCAGGTCTGCAGGGAGAGGGAGAGCAGGAGAGGGTGCGGGGTGACACACAGGCGGGGGGAGACCAGAGAACGAGCAGTCCACTCGTCGCAGTCTCCCCTGTTCTCACAAACGGGGACCCTGCAGCTAGCACTACGGACGGTGAACAAGCAACACGCTGCTCCCGGGGCTATGTCCGGAGCAGGCAGGGCGACCCTCCCAGGCCCACAGGCTCTCCCGAGAACTGAGGCTCCCAGTGCTGAGGGGACAGCGTGAGACAGGGCGGGTAGGGACTGTAGGTCCAAGGGGGGATGCGGCATCAGGGCAGGGCGGGTGGGGACCGTAGGGGGGACGCGGCATCAGGGCAGGGCGCTCTACAAACGGGGACCACAGGCCAGGGTCAGGTGGAGAGCGGGCCCCACCCTGAGGGCACAGCCCTCCCTGGGAAAGAGCTCTGCTGCCGAGGGGCCCAAGGACTCCTCAAAGGCCTCGCCAACCCCTTCCCTAGACACACCGCCCCCAGGATGCCTCCAGCCCTAACAGCCCCACACCCCCATGGTCACCCAGGGCCTCACACCACGGGGGACTAGCTCGTGGCCCCAGGAGCCTCCCCAGGCTCCCCCACTCCTCTCACACGCTTCACTCTGTCGGCACCCGATGCTCGGAGCACCCGGCTAACGTTCTCGGCCACCGAACAGCATCACGGGACGCGGGGACAAGTGCGGTCTCCGCCGAAATAACCACTGAGGGGCACAAGCTGCCAGAACTGACTGTCCCCGAGCCCTGGGTTCTAACCCAAGACGTACAGCAAGCAGGGCCATGCCTAACGAAGCAAGTGCCACGACGTGCCAGCCGGTAAGACCTCAGGCCACCGGCTAGCCACTGAGACGGAGGAGCAGAGCCCTCGGCGGCCAGGACACCTCAGGGCTGCTGGAGAGGCAGCGTCAGGGAAAGCCGCCACATGGACTGCAGCTCTGGGCGGGCGACGACGGCCAAGCCCGGTCGGGAGCCCAACTCCCGGGGCTGCCACATCGTAAGACTCAAACGTCCACGCTCAACCGAGGTTTACAAGACTCACGGGAAAATCGACCCATGGCCCATTCTCGGAAGGAAGCTGTCCCTAAAAAGCCCAGAGCAGACAGACTTCAAACTTTAAATATGCTCAAAAGGCTGAAGAAAGCATGCACACAGGGCTAGGGGCCTGGGAGCAACTTCTGACCGATGTACACGAAAGAGGGGGGGGACGGGGCAGAGGCAGACGTCCCCGGACTGTAGTCACAGCAGAAATGGGACCGTCCCAGCAAGGTCCATAGACCCCGCGGGCACGAAGCCCGATGAGTGCGGGGCCAGGCCGGCCAGTCTGAGGAGCGGGGAGAAAGCGAGCTCTGCCGGACACCGTCAAGCGCACCCACACACGAGGGGTCTTCAAAGGGTTATGGACAGTTCATGATATGAAAAACTATGTATGGTTTCACATTTTTTATATCCAAATAAACTCATACTTGAATTCCATTTTCCTATGAATTCGAAGTCACCCCAAATGTGTAATGCGTACCCCAGAGAGAGGGGTGAAAAGGAGGCGGGAAGAATGAAGAAACAACAGCTGACAGTGCCAAAGGGAGGTCCTGGGGTAGCTAGCGTGGGCCTTCGGTCAGGGTCCTCACGCACAGGTGATGAGACCGGATGAGGCCAAGGACAGGCCCACCGACCGCTGAAGGCAAAGGCAAGCGGGCTTACAGGGTGACACGGGGGCTACACACACGTGTGCTCTGCATGTGCACTCCACATGTGGGCATGCATGCCGTGTGCGTGCAAGGGAACCAGTAGAACTCCCTACAAAGAAACCCAGAGAAGACCAGCAGGTAGCATGGACGTTAAGGCACTAGCTCCCACATGAGTGTGGTTCAAATCCTGGACACAGCAGTTTGAAAAGCACACCAGGCACATGTGTGTGCATGCCCAAATTCCCAAGAGAACAGAGAAGGGATGGCAGCGTGGCTGTCCCCAAGAATGAGCTCTCACTTTCCCGTTCTCTCTCTCTTTGGCAACTCACACTCCCTATAGCAAAAAACTAAAATAATAATCCAGAGAAAGTAAGATGCTCCTTTCCTGAGCCTCTGTACGGCGGGCAGTCAGCCTTCTGAGGTGCCATGGGCAGGACCCAGGTGCCTACGAGGCGAACGTCGGAAGCAGACATCTCCGGCTCCTCGCCTGGTTCTCTAGTTCTATGTCCCCCCCCCGAGCATGCGCCAAGGAAGCTTCCCATTTCCTCTAAGACACGAGCAGTAATTCTTGTCACCAGACATGCCCATCTGTAACCTTGTCCTCCTAGGACATACTTTGTCAAGTATTTGGTTTTGCTTTTTGAACTAAATTGACAGAGAACGGCCTGCAGCCGGGTGGGACGCAGAGCCTCAGGAGGCAGGGAGTGTGGTGCTTCCCACAAACAGGGCCAGGCTCAGAGGTGGAGAGAGCCGAGTCAGGTGTGAGAACCACGCCGCTGGGCGGCCCGCAGCACCGTGGTTAGGCCCTGTGCACGGGGAGCTGTGGCCACAGCCAGCTGTGCTCCGTGTGCGTGTGGACGGGCAGGCCAAGGGATGAGGACTGTGGCAAAGCCACGGCCCCTAAGAGGGTGCTTTCTCGCTCTGTCTCTCTCCCCCTCCTCCCAGCCCGTGGCCTCTCTGGCAACAAAAAAGGGGGGGAACACAGATGAGATGTTCGGTAAGTAATCCTGTCACCACTCAGGCCTGCCACCCTGCTAGCCATGACACCCTGCCAGGGGACAGCACTGCTTCTCCAGACCCGACAGGCAGGCAGGAGCAGGCGCAGAGAGGACCAGCTCGCGGAGGGCGCAGGAGCAGGGGCGGGTGGCCAGGACAGCCCATCCAGGCTGCTCTGGGTTCAGGGCTTCCGACCAGCAGCTTGAAGCGCCACAGAGGACACCTGTGTCTCCTCACTGCCACCACTGTGACCCCAGGCAGCAGCAGAGATGTGACTCAGCACACACAAATGGAGGGTACCACGCAGCAGGGGCCGTGGCCCGCCCGGGCGCTCACGGCCGGCTTCAGGTTAGACGTGGCAAGCCACACAGCCCGAGTGAGCCAGAGACCCGGAGCTGACGGCAGAGCACGGGGGGACAGAGCACCAAGAAGCTGGGACGGCCGGAATGGAAAGTCTCGAGCATCACAGAAACCATCCAACAAGAGAGACCACCAGAGAAGGGGGGACTCGCAGATCACAGAACTGACGAGCCACGACCGAGTGCACGGTAATCCCCAGGACGACAATACAAAGACTCCTACTTGTAAGGGAGCCAAGGGCTCAGACAGACACTTCTCCAACAAAACCAAACAAATATCAACAGGCCCACGAAGAGACACTCGAAGCAACAGTCATGGGGCAAATCAGAGCCACGAAGGCGACTGCACACACGGGGACGGCCGTCTAGACACACACAGATGGGGCCAGCAGGAGGCGTGGTGGCTAGGGCGCTGCACTCCCACATGGCCAACTGCAGTTTGAGTCCTAGTCCTCACGGCTTGCTTTCCCACTCTCTCTTTCTCTCTCTCACTCTGTCCGTCTCGGGTCAAATTTAAGTAAGTAAATAAATGAGCAGAGCTGAATGAAAGAAACGAAAGCACACGCACGCACACACACAGCGCTATCTGTGAGGATGCGCTGAGCGAGGGCCTGCACAGTGCTGGCAGGATGTAAACCGCACAGCCAGGCCGGAGAGCAGCTTTCCACTTTCCTTTCTATGTTCCTCTTTACCGCCAGAGGGCACCTGAGTTAGCCAGAGAGAGACAAAGCACCGGGGGCATGGTCCACTGCAACCCTCGTCTCCCATTTCTCCACCCTGTCAGAATTTGGGGCACGAACGCACATGTGCCAGCTTGTTTTCTAGGGCCAGGCCAGCTCAGACCCTTGGCTGGCCATGAGGAATCCAACCCCCAGTTCACAGTGCTCCACACGGACCGCACTGGGGCTGGCCTTGGCAGCGTCTCAGAAAGTCCATTCACACTGGAATGACCGTGTAACCTAGCAGTTTCGCTTCTAGGTCCACATACAAGAGAGATGAAAACATATGTCTACAAAAAAGCTTTTGCACAAATGTTCACAACAGCCTCACTGGCCACAGCCACACCCATCCACGGGCCAGCTTGAGCAGGCGAGGGCTCTGCCCACAGCGCAGCACCCAGCCGGGGCGAAGCACGGCCCCTGCTAACCCTGAGCCTCCAGGCAGATTGGGGCGGCGGCAAGCACAGCAGCGCCCACGCACATGACGTGGAAAGGCTCGTGCACCGACAGACGGGAGGCTCGCAGCTGCCTCAGCCGAGGCTGCTGGGGATGGGGCAGGAATTGCTGGAGTCCAGGGTTTCTGCTGGGGCAATCAAAATGTTCTGAAATGGGACCAGCAGTTAGCGTAATGGCTATGTCACTGGACTCCCATGTAGTCGACCGCGGTTTGAGTCCCAGACCCGGTGGCTTAAACTTGCCGGGTATACGTGCATGTGTGCCCAAGATCCTGAGAGGAGAATGGAGGAGAAGGGATTGCGGTGTGGCCATCCCCTCTGCGGGGTGATTTCTCGCTTTCCATCTCTCTGTATCTCTCTGTCTTTCTGGCGAGCACACACACCCATTAAGAAAAAACCTCTCCAAAAAATAAATAAATAAATAAAAAAGTTCTGAAACAAGGGCCGGCAGGTGTGTGGTGGTTAACGGCACTAGATTCCCACATGGCCGACAGTGGTTCAAATCCCAGACGTGGGATTTCCCTTTCCCTTTCTCTCTCTGATAAAATTAAAAATAATAATGACAAATGGAATTAAATAAATAATCTTTTAAAATAATATTTCTGAGACGAGGTCATGGTGAAGGTTACACAGCTCTGAAACCCACTTAACTATGTACTCCAGATAGGTGAGCTTCCTGGAGCAAAAGTATATATAAAAAGAAACAGGGAACCAGCAGTTAGCGTAATGGCTATGTCACTGGACTCCCACGTAGTCGACCGCGTTTCGCGTCCCGGACCCGGTGACTTAAAACTCACACCGGGCGCGTGTGCGTGCGTGCCCAAAATCCCAATAGGAGAATGGAGGAAAAGGGACTGCGGCGTGACCATCCCCCCGGGAGGTGATTTCTCACTTTCTGTCTCTGTCTCTCTCTGTCTGTCTTGCGAGTGCACACGTCCTATAGCGAAACCTCTCAAAAAAAAAAAAAAGAAATAGAAAAGACACACACCCACATCTATGTAGGGATATGCAAATATCAGCAAAGCGGTTTTAAAAGTAAGCTGAAAGACTAAATAGAAATCGTAGGCTGTCGACGCAGATGCACACTGCACTCAAAGATACCTGGGAGGCTGACACCAACCTGAAAACCACAGTGAGAACCTGTCTCTAATGAATAAAAGGTAAACAAACTGCAGCGCAGGCTCAGGCAGCATGGCGGCACAGCGGCATGGCACCGCAGTGCAAGGCTGGGGCTGTGTGGGGTGCTCAGGCGAGCCACACGGGCCGGGTGCCAGCCACACGGGCCAGGTGCAGCAGGGTGCACCCAGGGCCTTAGCCGACTGGGGGGCTTCAGTCCGCACACGCCCGTCTCTCCACTGCCCCTCTCCAGCTGCTCCTCCCTCCCCGCCCCGGCCGCATGAGGAAGGCCTCCCAGCGCAGCCAGCACCAGCCGCGAAGGTGGACTGCGGTGGACCCGGCCACACCCACCTCAGAGGCCCTCATTCTGGACAGAAGTCCCTCCCTGGGAGCAGAGCCCCTGTGCTGCGCATTTACGAGGGGGCCTCCAGCCACACAGAGGGCCTGGGTCTGTCCCTGCCCACCACACACCGGGCTGCACGTGGCCAGGCCCGACGGCTGCCCAGGGCCAGGGCTACAAGGTGAGACGTGGGCCCAGGGGCCCGTGGCCTCCCGGAGCCTGCACACAGGCACCTGCCACCTTGACAGCACGTGGGTGGGAGGGCGCAAGGAAGCACAGGCGCTGAGTGGGAAGCCAGCATGAGAGCCAGGGTCCACCGTGTGCTCAGGGCCGACCAGACAGGCCAGCGGGCTCGACAAAGAGCCCCATGGTGCTACGCACGGCCCCTAGGATGCCAGTCGAACATGCCTCAGCTACTCACCACCTGCGAGTCGCGACGGGAGCAGCAGGCCTCTTCTGCCCAGTTCAGCCAGCGCCAGACACCCGCCGTGCCACGAGCTGTCTGTCTCCTGAAAACTGAGCAGAGTTGAGACATCAGCTTCCGAGGGGAAGCACAGCCAGGCAAGGCACGGCCAGCGTGTCCACGCTCTGTGCCCACAGCTCACTGCAGTCTGCGAAGGAGTCGGCTGACGAGAGGGACGTCCCACCTGAAACGCAGGGGACCGCCACGTTGGGTACCTCTCCTAGATCTCCCAATGGTGAGGAAAAGCCCTGGCCAGCCTCGAGACCCACACAGAGACAGCCCAGGGGCCTTCGGCGCCCAGCCTGGTGGCGTCCCACCACCGCACAGCGACCCACTTGGCAGCACCCTCGGCTGGGAAGGCCGAGTCCAAGTGGAGGCCCTCGCAGCAGAGCAGGGGCTAGTCCGGCCGCCCATATACGGAAGCTCTCTGTTAACCTCAGAGACTGAGATCGAGATTAACTAGAAGGAGGCGGACCAGCAGGTGGCCTGGTGGTCAAAGTGCTGGACCCCCACGTGGTCGATCACAGTTCAGTCCTGGACCTGGTAGCCTGAAAATCACGGGGGGAGGGGCAGGTGGTGTGGTGGTTGAGGGCAATGGATTCTCACATGGCCGACCACGGTTCGAGCCTCGAACCCGGTGGCTTGCCTTCTCACTTTCCCTTTTTCTTTCTCTGTTCAAATTTAAAAATAATAACAAATATAACAATATACATAAATAATTCTTTAAAAATAAAAGAAAATAAAATCCCATTGGGAACATGTGCCTACATGCCCGAAATTCCATGAGAAGGGACTGGCATGGCCACCCCTCTGGGGGGATCTCTCACTTTTCCTCTGTCTCTCTCAAACAAGTGCACGTGCGCTGTGGCAGGCAAACCCTAGAGTTAGATGAGGTAGCACATGGTGATGCTCCTGCACCGTTTGCAAGGCGGATTTTCGGCGAACGACAACGCTGCCAGTGAGTCAAGTGGCAGGTGACGTGTCACAGTGAACGTAGGTTCTCCCCAAGCAGCTCAGCTCTCCCCAGGGTACAACACTCGTGCTGAGTAGTGGGAGGAGCTGTTTCTTAGGAAGATGAGTTTTCCTGGTTTCTACACCTTGCTGCCAAGGTTAACATGGAAAACTCTTCTCTAAGAAGCAAAGCAAATCAGAGCTTTTACTGACAAGGACTGAATTACCCGGCAGCAGAGAAACACCTGGGAGAGGCAGCCGGCCCTCGTCACCTGCGGGCGGCAGCACAGGGCACGGACACGGAGCGTCAGGAACGCCTGCCCGCTCACTTCCCGGCCCCACAGAGCTCCATGTGCCAGGCCCGTGGAGACGCACTGCCCTCAGAGCTCAGCACCTGCGCAAGAGCCTCCAGGCATCTGCCCGAGGCCACGCGCCCACCTCCAGCCCTGACGCGGTGCTCTGCACCTTGAAGATCTGGATTTCCCGTACTTGCCGGGATTCTTTACTTTATTCTCATTGCCGGAGGACACGAGCGCTTGACAAGGGAAGCACCTGCGGGCACGGTCACACCGCAGCCCCTTCCTCCACTCTGGAGTCGCAGCGCCCTGCCTAGTGGGCACCGTCCAGGCGCTGGGCCGAGAGGCTGAATCGCCACTGCATACTCCACACCCGGGACAGGCCGGGGACAGGGAGGTCAGCCGAGCCGTTCCACCCCTACCCAGCCTGGAGCCACCTTGGGAGCACCTGGGGTCTCAGAGAACAGTGGGGACCATGAATGGGCAGGCAGGCAGGGAGAGAGAGGGACAGGCAGACAGGCGGGCATGAAGACCACGGGTGTCGCCAGACAGAGAACGGCTCCCAGCCATACTCCAGGGCCCAGGGAGGTCATGCGGGCACGAAGCCGCAAGTGCAGGTGAGCAGGGAAGCCTGAGGAACACGCACAGGCAGGCTCCGGGAAGGGCTGGGTCAGAGACGGTCCTATGTGGCAGAGGAAATGCACAGAAATCCCGTGAGGAAAAACAGGAAAAGGTAAGTGTCCAGCAGACAGCTACCCCAACTCGATGAAGGGGCCAAGAGGCTGGGGTGGGAGGTGCAGAGAGAGGGTGAGGAGGTGACATCCTGCCCTTCCCACCCCCCCAAATTTGGTCTCTCAAGGCCTGTGAGCTGGGAGCCCAGCCGCAACCCCCAACGCACACCCAGCCCTCACTGCCAGGGCCCATCCCAGCACCGTCGCTCCCCATCTCCACACCGCCAGACGCTCCAGGGACACGCCCTCCACCCATGCACTCCACACAGCAGTCACCACGCGGGGTGCCCCTGCAGGAGGACCTGCTCCAAGGACGAGCACAGCTCACACGCTCTCGCCGCGCTCCTGACCCGCCACGGAGCAGGCTCCGGGCTGCACTGGACAGCCCTGCGGCATGAGGGGATGGAACCTGGGCTCTCACACAGCAGGCGCTGGCACGGACAGCCCCCGGGGTACGGGCCACGTGGCGTTCTGCAAGGCGGTCCCTGCGCTCGGTGGCATCCCAGCCAGTTCCTGGCTGAGCCAGGGCAGCTGCATCACTGGCCCTGAGCAAGCTGACCACCCTACATGGCACCAGAAGACCCTTACATCAGTGAGGCTGTGTCCTCGGATACAACAGGACTGCGGCCGCCCACTGGGAGCCTGCGGCCCGGGGCTGCCACCCACACGCCAGTGCACGCCCGTTCCAGAGGCAACTGCCCAGCTGCCCAGACACCCTGAAAGGCCAATGAGGCAGAGGCAGCTCTGTCCCACTGGAACAAAACTCGATTTCAAACTCAGTCCCAGCCATGCCAGCCTCGTGGAAGGTCTCAGCACGTCACGTGGCAGCTGTAGTGGGGAGTGGCAGAACAGCCGCAGGGGGCTCCTGGACGTGGTCCCCGTGCACACAACGTCTAAGGTGACTCTCCTCTTTCCTCAGTGCCTTTAAATACAGTGAGGCTGCTAAAGAATGATCCAGAAGTAGAGTTCTGAAGTATAAATATAAATATAAATTCAAGGAGAAAGGGGACTCTGGGGGTCCTGACAGACAGCTCAATCGAAAGGAAGTGGAAAGGACCAATGGATGACATAATGGTTACACTCCCACATGGCCAGCTGCAGTTCAAGTCCCAGATCCGGCAGCTTGAAACTCATGCTGCGTGCACGTGCATGCATGTCCCACGTCCTGAGAGAAGGCTGGAGAAGGGACTGTGGCATGGCCATCCCCACGGGATGATTTCTCACTTTCTGCCTCTCTCATCTCTCCAGCAAGTGCACATGCCCTATAGAGAAAATCTCTCTTGAAAAGAAAGGAAACAAGGAAAAACTCCCAGCCCTGGGCCAGCTGCTAGAGACGTTCACGGCGGCTAACTGCACGGCCAAGTCCAGACCCAGCAGACCGGGAGGCACGCACGTGCGAGCATGCCCAGAATCTCGAGAGCACGGGAGGAGGCACAGCCAGTCGGCCCTCGGGGGACTCCTCACCTGCCCCCTTTCCTCTCTCAGGTGAGTGCGCATGCCTACCACAAAGCTTTAAAAAGCCGCCCCTCTTAACCGTGAGGTTAGGCCAGAAACACGTGTCCCTTCGACTTCCCGTACCTGAAACAATCCAGCACGGACCCGACCACATCATCTGCCAGTTCTCTGGGAAGTCTTCCAGCCATCCGACCGACCCTGAGAAAGAGAGGCAGCGACGTCAGAGTGGCCAGCCTGTGGACTCCCACGCTGTGCTCGGTGGCCATCGCCTGCCAGCTGGGAGCCAGTGTCTGAAACTGCAGACGCGTAAAGGACCCCGTCTGCCGTGAAGCCCAGGGCGTGCTGGCGGGCTGCGTGGTCTCCTTGCCACAGTGTGTGGCCAACATGGCACCTGGCACCAGGCGAACGGTGAGGCCAGGCTGCCCCTCGCACACTCGGTGCTGAGCGTGCCAGCTGCAGTCAGGCTGCCCTATGTTGGGGAGAAGAGCCATCCTGGGAGCCCAGGGCCAGCGCACTGGCCCCGGTCAGACCTGGGGAAAGGCCCTCGCTGGAGGTCTCCCTTTCCCTGCACTGGCCCATCGTACCCAGCCAGACTGACATGGGCTGTGACGCTGTCCACGAGGCATAAACGCAGAAGCATGGGTAAGCCATGGAGACCTGACCCTCCCTATTGGAACAGACCCACCACAGCCCAGAGAGCCTTCGGTGAAAACTAGCCGCAGCACCTGCCAGCCCCTCACCTGCACTTGCCAGTCCCAGCAGGGGTCTTGCGGGCACTCTATACATGTGCTGTGTGGGCAGCTGTCCCCCCATCCCCCTGGGGCTGCTGGCTCTATAGGACCAAGGCTCTGTCTGCACTCTCCACAGAAGCGCCGAGGCCCCAGGGAAGAGACACACAGCTCCCTCAGGTGGGGTGCGGGGACCACAGCCCTGTCCCCCAGTGCTCCAGGGGCTAGACGGGGCCGTGCCTGCTCTCACTACAGGGCGCTCTACCCGGCGTGGCTGCACCGGGGCTGCTTCCCCATCTGCTGGACACTGGCAGGATGGGAGAGGAAGCCGTGAAAGAGCACAGACCAGCATTTAAAAGGTGAAGGCAATTTTGGCCTGCAGGTAATTTGGCACTTTCGCCAAAAAAAAGGCGAGAAAAGAAAGGAGCCTAAAATTCAACCCGAGGCATCATCTTTAAGATTAAGATACAAAACAGTAAGCTGAATTGAACAGAAAATCACCCTCTGTTGTATATTGTAAGGTGCTCATAGCCCCAGAAAGCACTGAGACGAGGAAGGTTCCCGAGCGGAGGTGCGCCCGGCCCCACAGCGCTGGGGCTGGACCTACCCCACGGCCTGCAGGGGCTGGACCTACCCCATGGCCTGCAGGGGCTGGACCTACCCCATGGCCTGCAGGGGCTGGACCTACCCTTTGGCCGCAGACCAGCGTACAACCGCGCCTCTGTCCTTCCGTCCGAAC